CACTTAGTATTTCCAATCATCTCTGACCAGAACTTAAACCATAGTAGAAACACCAAACTAGGCATTCATTGGGATTAATTGTATTCATTCCAGTCAACTGAAGAACATTCACTTACCATATTCCAGCCTGGGTAGAGGTAGTCTGTGCCGACAAATTCAAAATAATGAGCAAAACCTTCCTTTAACCACACATCTTCCCACCACACAGGAGTCACAAGGTCACCAAACCACTGTGATGACAAAAGAAACAGGCATCAGATGTAATTACACCTTTCAGAATTATTTTCTCTAAAATTAAATTATAAATATCATAACTGGAATTCTTCCCCAACTATTATGCTCTCTTAAAAAATGTGCTGCTAAAGGAATGTATTGATTTATTCTACAACTTGGGTACAATAGTTTTTGTTGTTTGGTAAAGGCATTTATAAAAGTACAATCATCAAAGGACATTAAAAAATATTTACACTGAAAAATAAATAACAATTTTTAAAAAACCAAACAAACCCAATACAGAAAACAAAAGAAAAAAAAATCACTCCAACTCACTTTTGTAGAGTTAGAACCAATTAATTATCTAAGCCTCTTCAGGGTTAGAGGAGTTCGAAAATTCCAAGGGAGGAGATTGTCCATCTTTCTCCCGCCGAGCCAGTGGTGGGTTCAAATCACCTGAGAGGTGCTGCCTTTTGATTTGCAGCACAACTGCTTATTGTGCACTCAACAGAGCTCCATAGTGAGGTCAGTCATCTTTAATTATTCGAAAGGCGCTTATGTAGATGAGCAAAAAGTTTGTTTGTTATGGGTCTACAAGTAACAAATCAAGATAATGGATGAAAATTAAGCATGGAAGATGTCAACTGAAAATATAAAAATTCTGTAATGGACTTGGGGGCTGGATACAGCAAAGATCACCTGGGAAGTTAGACAATGACTGATCGTAAGATACTAAGAATCACTGTTGAGAGGGACAAACTATTCACAGAATGCATCAATTGACAGATGGGATTAGGAGCTTTTAATGTATTCCACACCTAACTCTCTTTGATTCTATGATTGGGCCATAAAAATCTTTAAGATTCCTTCATGAGAAAGAACGTAATTTTTATTAGTGTTTTGATTAAATCATGATGTATCATTCTGAAGTCACTACTTAGTTCAGCAAAAGATTTAACAAATTCTCTCTCTCTGTCTCTCTCTGTGTGTGTGTGTGTGTGCAGAAAAGGAGAGAGAGAATGAGCTCTGATGGCTAGCTAGTGCTTGGGGAGTTGCCCTGCTAACTCAAAGGCCATGCCTCTCTGGTGAGTTGAATATATCAGATGCTCTCTAAGGTACTCAGGAGCAACAGTGTCTCTCTGGAGACTAAGGTGCCTGATACAGGCCATGGTATTTGCAATCGCTTGTTATGCATCAGAGAGTTGGACAATGACTAGGGAGGACAGAA